GTGTGTGTATGTATGTGTGCTGTGAGTATCAGGGGTGCAGTGTGTGTGAGTAAGGGTGCTGTGAGGGTCAGGAGTGCAGTGTGTGTGTGAGAGGGTGCTGTGAGTTTCAGGGGTGCAGTGTGTGTGTGTGTGTGTGAGGGTGCTGTGATACTGTGTGTGCATGTGTGTGAGTGAGGGTGCTGTGAGTGTCAGGGGTGCAGTGTGTGTGTGTGAGTGAGGGTGCTGTGAGTGTCAGGGGTGCAGTGTGTGGTGTGTATGTGTGCTGTGAGTATCAGAGGTGCAGTGTGTGTGAGTAAGGGTGCTGTGAGGGTCAGGGGTGCAGTGTATGTGTGTGTGTGAGGGTGCTGTGTGTGTTAAAGCAATATGTGTTTGTTAGGGGTGTAGTGTGTGTGCAAGATGAGTGCAGTGTGTGTGTGTATGTGTGTGTCTGAGTGATGGGTGCTGTGTTTGAGTGAGGGTGTAGTGTGTGTGTGAGAGTGACGGTACTGTGAGCGGCAGGGGTGCAGTGTGTGAGCGTGATGTGAGTGCCAGGGGTGCAGTGTGTGTGAGTGAGGGTGCTGTGAATGTCAGGGGTGCAGTGTGTGTGTGTGTGTGTGTGTCAGGGTGCTGTGAGTGTCAGGGGTGTAGTGTGTGTGAGTGAGGGTGCTGTGAGTATCAGGGGTGCAGTGTGTGTGTGTGTGTGTGTGAGGGTACTGTGAGTGTCAGGGGTGCAGTGTGTGTGTGTGTGTGTGAAGGTGCTGTGAGTGTCAAGGATGTAGTGTGTGCATGTGAGTGAGGGTGCTGTGAGTGTCCAGGGTGCAGTGTGTGTGAGTGAGAGTGCTGTGCGTGTCAGGGGTGCAGTGTGTGTGTGTGTGTGAGGGTGCTGTGAGTGTCAGGGGTGCAGTGTGTGTGTGAGTGAGGGTGCTGTGAGTGTCAGGGGTGCAGTGTGTGTGTGTGTGTGTGAGTGAGGGTGCTGTGAGTGTCAACGTGTAGTGTGTGTGTGTGTGAGTGATTATATTCCCCTCCTTTCTTACCTTTAGCCTGGGTGGGGGCATCGTGCTGCTGCCATCCCTGGTGGTGAAAGTGGTGAGTGAACTCCAGCCTGAGGAACCCAGCGGAGCTGCAAGTTAGAGCTCCTCCGGGTTCCTCTCCTGTCTCCCTCAATCTCTCCGACGCCGGCGACCGCAATCTACTACTTGCCATTTGCCCGGTGTGTCCGATGGACAGGATTTGTCAGCTGATTTGCAAGACTGGGTGAGAGATTGGCGACCTAGCACCCTGAACGAGGCGGCTCGGCTAGCAGACGAGTACGCCGAAACAAGAAAAGTTAGTCAAGGTACCCATCGCCCAGCTAGCAGGACAAAACCACGTACCCCAGCTAATAACTTTTGCCTGGAGTTCCGTGCTCTTGTTACCCCAGGACCACCTCGCCCTCAAGGGTTCAACAACTACCCACGAGATGTATCCAGAATGGCGTGCCATCGCTGCAACAACCTCGGACACCTTGCTCGCCACTGTCCTTTGGGGTTGGCAGCTAACAATTGGCGGCGCCCCTCACCACCTACAGAAACAGCTTCACCTCGCACCCCTGCCCCTACACCTCGTACCTCTGCCGCCCATTGCCTGGAGACCGAGGTGGGCCCGGAGGAATGTCTGGGTATTCTATATGAGGCGGACCCGATACAGGCAGCATCACCAGATAATCGGCAGCATCACCGACAGGAGGGGAGAGTGAATGGACAGGTGGCGCAAGGCTTGAGGGACACTGGTGCAACCATCACTCTAATGCAGAGACATCTGGTAAAGCCAGAACATTTGTCCAACCGCACTGTGGCTGTACGAGTCGCCGGAGGAGCTGTATTTCGTTTACCCACTGCCCGGGTTACACTTGGACTGGGGGGTCGACTCTGGGAAGACCACCTTGGGCATCATGGACAATTTGCCCGCTGAAGTCGTGTTGGGCAATGACATTGGCCCTCTTGCTTCAGCCTACTTACCTACCACTGCTGCCGCTTGCCCCGTGACCACGCATTCCCAAGCTCGTTTTTCGGACGACCCTTCACCAGGATGGGAGACCCAGGTAAGCCAAGAACCGACACGTAGGTCAGACCCCATAGAGAGACCCCTAGCTTTGGATACCCCCGAAGCATTTAGGAGGGAGACAAGGGCGCACCCACCCTCCAAAAGTAAAGGGGACTTGCAGATAGTTTACCGCAGACTTGACCCAACAATTATGGAAGGTTTGTGGTATTAAGACCCTCTTCAGCTCGCCCTACCACCCCCAGACTAACGGGCTCTGTGAACACTTTAATGGTACCCTGAAACAGTTATTGCGGACCTTTACTGCGGAATAACAGAGACTGGAAGCGATTCTTGCCGCACCTTTTGTTTGCATACCGAGAGGTGCCGCAGGAATCCACTGGGTTCTCTTCGTTCGAGCTGCTCTATGGAAGGCGAGTTCGGGGCCCCCTCGATCTCATCCGAGAGCACTGGGAAGGAGAGATGGAACATGAGGGTGTCCCCACTGTACCATATGTTCTGGAGATGCGGAACCGCATGGAGCAGTTGGCTGGGATAGCAAGAGACCATCTCCAGGCGGCCCAGGGTCGACAGAAACGGTGGTATGATCGGGGCGCCAGCCAGAGAACCTTCCAGGTGGGACAGAAAGTTCTGGTGCTTAGACCAGTGAAAGGGAACAAACTCCAGACCTCTTGGCAGGGCCCTTACAAGGTGGTAGCTCAAGTATGTGACACCACCTACGTAATTGCCAGTAACAAGGATGACCGGATTCGGAAATCCTTCCATGTGAATCTGTTAAAAGAATACCAGGAAAGACCAGAGGATATTGCAGCCATCTGC